TAGGAAATGTATTTTACTGAAATTGAAATTTATCCCTCGAGTGAGAATAAAATGCAAGTAAAATAATCTACAGTTTTTCCTTCCAAATGATATCTGTACATGTCTACTCACCTTGTAACAATCACCACCTTGCAAAAGTGTGTCTACAAATATTGCTGGTCCTTCAGGTCTATTAATTCCACCAATTATACTGATACCCAGTCCTGTGTTTTTTGTGATGTTAATGTAGTTCAGGTCTTCTCTCCTGGACACAGTAAATACATGTACATTATCATCTATGTAAACTACAATGATATTGACACACTGACCTGACCCTCTAGTCAAAAATAACATTTGCATGAATTATATTTATTCAAATTATGAATTTACATATTTAATCTAAACCAATTGATTTTAATTATTTTCATTGACCCTTTGAATGCAACAGTTTTGAAACAAATTGCTGGTTCCATTTTTCATACATATTTACTTTTCTATATTTTATATATATATTCTTTTTGATCTGAAATCAAAACAATTGAATACATACGAAAAAAATGCTATGAGTTCCAGGGGTTGCAATTAAAAATTAAAATTGTCAGTCTATTGAACAGGTTTGAGAATAAAAGTGCCTGTCCCATTTGATGATACACCTGTCCTTCTGAGATAAATTATTAAAGACATATTATTTAAAAAAAAATTATTGGCTCATCGTCATTTCACAGGTCTAAACAATTCTGAAAGCAATTTTATCGATATCAGCACCTTTGAACTACCCCATTTGGTTAGTTAGTTAGTTACTTCATATCCATTTGGGACAGGTGGACAACCTTAATTTCGACCAGAGTACTGAAAGGTGACCAAAGTTGACTTTGTTTGAATGGTTTTACGCAATTATCATTTCTTTGAACCCAAGAAAATACAACTGTAGTTATTCCAGGAGGGGTTGGGGAGGGGGGTATGAGGGCTCAAGGTTATTATAATACATGTATAATATTTTCAATTTTACAATACACATTATCAATGTTTGTAATAAAATAAACTTGTAAAACTGTCATATTTAGTACAAATCATTTTCTTTAATCAATGTTAAAAGTCAGATTTGTTGGTCAGTTTTGTAAAAGTGTCAGATATCACATAATCTTTCCTAGAAAGGAGAATTATGGGTGAGGAAAGCAATAACTGAAAACAAACGTGCAACACAGCAGATGGGCTATGTTTGTAATCCATGATGAATTAAACTATGTTAGACTTGAACACTGATTCGGGTAGGAATGTACAACCCAAAGACGTCATTCTTGTGAAGTGTATGCTGGAAGTGGACTTTCATGCAACAGTTATAAAGTGTAAATCACTGTTTGCTGAGCTCCGATCATACAGAGGTATGTTGTAATCATGTGCTAGATTCCATATTGGTAAATTTTAGCACTTCACCGATTAATATTTGTATGGATATTCTATACTCAAATCAACTATACAAATAGTAATCAAAATGGCATTTTCTGAATCATAATGTCTTCATTTTTAATTGTCTTATCGACCAATGTTAAGTTGTGAAACACACGCAGCATATTTGATAACAAAGAGAAATATTTGTTTGACAACAAAGAAAGAAATATTTGTGTTGGATATGAACATTGATACTTACTTTGGTACATTCATACATGTATAAAAGGGTGAATTTAAAGTATATAGATTATTTTAGCTAACTTAATATATAAAGGTCTGGTGTTTAATACATTAAAAATATTAAGAATATTCACTGAAAAAAAGAAATTGAAGACATCATTACGAAATGACAAATTAAGGACATGCCCACTTAGCACTAGTCATCAAGAGTAGTTAATATCTATTTAGCATTATAACTGTATCTATGATAGGTTGCTGGTTACATATCTGCATATTAATCAGGACACATGATTTATTTTTTAAAAACATGTCTAAAGTGTTGAACTTATCTAACTTTAAACAAAAATTACAAAAAAAAAAAAAAAAAAAAAAAAAAAAAAAAAATTTAATCAACCAGTAATTGAAAAACAACTTATGCAACAGCATCCCACATAATGTGAAGTTCATACCAAATTTGATTGTAATTTGCCTGTGCACTGCTGTGAAATCAGTGTACATAAACATGCAGACAGAGGTCAATCTATAAGCCCTCATTTCCAGCTCACTGCACTATTTTCTTCCTAGGAACAGAAACAAACCTCAATTGTCTAGCCTTAGAAAAATACTTAAAAAAATGCAAAATTTGGCACAGAAATTTGAAAAATTATGTCATAATAGTATGCTAACTAATACCCATATAAGTATGAAGTAACCGAAATTGAATAATAATAGTGAGAAAAATTGATATTTCAGCATACCTTCACTACTGCTAACAGGATATGACAGTTTGTTGATGTATTATTACAAACTGATAGGATAAATTTAATCCTTTAATATCGAGATGACATTTAATTATTTTTATCTGACAGCTGTATACTTGACTTATTTAATATTTCATTTAGTGACTGTCAGTTACACATGTGGGACAAGCAATATGTCGGGCAATGATCAACTGGTCAGACAATGATCAACTGGTCAGGCCATGGTAAAGTGGTCAGGTCATGGTCAAATGGTCAGACAAAGGTCAATCAGGCCATAGAAGTATAACTCAATTATCTCATGCATCAAAAAATATCTGACAAATTTTGTTTGAATTTTCAGAATTTGGATTCATGGCGATGTTTTTTAATTATGAATATGATTACAATATGACACGCTTGATTGTCAAGCATCATAAACAAAAGTAAAATACTTAATAAACAATAGAGGGCAGCATTGAAATGAAAGTGATAAACCAATGACAACAGTTTACAATTCTTCAATACTAGAGGACAGCATTGCAAAGAATGAGATAAATCTGCTCCACAAACAGTTTACTATTCTAAAAGATTAGAGGGCAGGGTGCAGTGAACTGGATATATCTTTCAAGTTTTATTTCAACTTTTTTCATCCTCATTCATAAACAAGAAATGAACTAGACTAGTTCTGCTGAAACATTTTCATGGTCCACACCAGAATTATTCAAATTGTGTACATATTACCTTATATATTAATTTTCCTCTTTATATATCTCAATTATTGTATACATAATTTTCTGTATGACATATTTTTTGACAATTAAGTTGTGTATCTTCTCTTAACTCTTGATTTTTTCCCACCAACATATTAGTTCAACATTTGTATAAAATTGTTTTTGGTAATTTTGGAACAAATGGACATAATTTGGTTAGAGGTTTCAAGTTATTCAGCATTTTTGAAAAAAAAAATAAAAAAATTTGTGAAGTGACAAAAGATGCCTATGGCGTTCAATGGAATAATTAACGTACATGAGTGTATAAAATGTATACAATGTATGGGGGGGAGAGAATATATTTTTTCTAAAGTTAGCAAGCAAGACTCTTTTCTTGTCTTGTCAGTGGTGAAAATAAAGGTTATTTTAGCAACTCACTTCCCAAATAAGTTGAAATATTTAAACTCCCCCCCCCCCTCCCATCTATTTTAAAACCACTTCATTTTCACAGAAAACTCTCAAAATTCACATGTCTGAGAAAATCACAAATTTGCATAGCAGCGAACATTTTTGAGTGAATGACTCACAGTGACTATAAGGAATGTTTTCTTACATTTTTTTTTATAATTTACCGGTACACATGTTAAATATATTTTGCAATAGTACTATTAGGAAGGCTATTTTACAATCTCCAGCCATTTTCAAAAGGATTGACTTGATTCTACAGTTTTAATTTGAGTGAACAAGTACATCTTGATTAGAACAGACACTTTTATTCGTCAACCTGTGCTGTGAACAGACAATTTCTTATTTTCAATCTCCTGCAGGAGTAGCCCATCACACTTTATTACAATAATATAGAGTTCTAATATGCTTACCTATGTAAATTATTTCTAAGTGTTGGTGTTTTATTTGGTAAACGAACACTTTCCACTGTCAATTCAGATGAAGCAGATGTCTCACTAGCTGGAGTTCTCCGACCTTGGCGAAACACAAAATGCAATGAACATTACTTAACAGGAAATTGACAATTACACAGCAGGGCGTTTGTCATTTGATTAATTTGTATTCACAGGGAGAACACAGTAATTGGGTTACATAATAACATGTCTCGCTGGCAAGTAGACAATTTCTCTAAATGTTCATGACATGTAAATTTGTTGGAGTCCGCAAACATTTTTTTGCAATTAAATATCTAAAAATTTTCACTTCTACAAAATTTTTCCAGAAATTCATCTATCGTAAAAATAAAGTGGTTTACAGTTTTGCAAGATACTTCTAAGGCCAGGAAAAAAAAATTCTCTTTTTCTCATTTCATGGAAATTTTAAAATAAGGCGGAAGCGATTTTTTTTCTTCGAATACTGAGCTAAAATGGGGTAAATTTGAGACAAGTGCGAGTACAAGCACATTTTGGAATGCTTTAGAAGGAAAAAAACGTTCCAGGCGTATAGTTCAAAATGCTGCGCGCGTAAACGAGAAACAGATATTTTTTTTCTCAGCCTAATATCATTTAGGTTGTTCGCTAAATAGATAATCTAATTCCTCAGGGCAAATGATTGCACAAGACGAAGGGTATATTGACACCTGAATGAAATATTAAACAATATGTAAACTGTCAGAATTTTCATGAATTTAGTGATTAAATCAACAACATTTTTGTAGCCGTTAAAGTAGAACATTTCTAGTGCATTTTAAAAATTGCTCATATTTTCGTGCAAATAGCAGTAAATTAATTTCATCTCAAAAATCTATAATCAACCATTTCAGTATAAGTCAACATTATGTGATTTTTTTTGTCAATGAAAAAAACTAATAATATGCACCAAATAACATTTCATTCGTGTTTTCCATAGGACCATCGATTTCTTAAAATCTCATTAAATATAATGTTAATATTGTAATATCGTTTTTGACATCAGCCATAACCTTGTAAGGTTACACTACATATTTCATTTTACCAAATATCACTTAGCAAAATATTAAAATATATCTTTATCACAGGAAACTATGATAAATACCCTAAAAAATACAGACAAAATGGCATTTTCCCTCTATTCTATACATCAATATTTTCTGAGCTGAGCATGGAGACCCCATATTTTTATATAATTTTCTTCATTTTGTAATACACGTACAGGAAGAATAATTATTTTTACTTTGAGCACAATGAGTGACATACCTGGATCTGCTGATGTTGAAGTCCCTATAGAAGACAGTGATCTGCTATCAGAAAATGAACTGCTAGCATAACTATAATTCTCTTGACTCTCACATAATTGAGAATATTCATGTCTGAAATTGAGAAATACTGAGTGATAAGAATATATTCTCCTGCCAAGATTATCACAATTTTTAGGGGCAGAGCTATGCCACAGAATGATCTACGATGCTAAGATGCACACAACTGTACTGATACTATTGATTTCTATGAGCTGCCGTGGAACACTGGTCAGAGAGTCGGTAAAAATAGCTAAAAGTCAAGAAGACAGCACAAACTATGAGACAAACCTTAACAACCAGATTTATATATGTTGTACATGTAGAAATAATTTTGTTACATTGTATAGGAGAGTCTCAACAGAGAGCCCAAAAAACGTTTTGTCAAGAGTTTTTGTCAGTCGTTTTCACTGGTTGCGGTTGTCAGGTGGTGAAAATTTTTGCTCTTGGAATAGGCGTTTAGATGCACATTTGTCAATGATGTACCATTTCAGTATAAATCAGGTTCATAAAATAAGCTACACAATGTTCTATAATACCAAGATTTAATTAAATCCATGTAATGCTTGTGTTTTACTTCTAGAATCAATTACTTGATTCTGATGCATTTTAACAATCAATATGGCCACCAGTATCACAAAACTAATGCACGTACAAATGTGTCCCATGACATATTATGCAAAATTTTTGATACAATTAGAACAGACATGTAAATCAATCTAAAGTATTTAACGAAATGAAGTTGTGGAGATGAGATTTTCTTATCAATTTCCTTGTTTCAAAAGTAGAAAAACTGCGTCTAATACACATTGACAAGGAAATAATCAAAGATAGCTTAGAAAAAAACTCACATGTGCAGAGGGTATTGATTGTATATTTGAAATGAAAATTGGCTAATTATTATGAAAATTAGGTAGGAAAATTTTAAATGTTCAACTCAAATTTCTCGTCCAGTCACTGGATTATCTCATAGAATATATGTACCAAGTTTTGTCTTTGCCTCAATTACCTGTGTTACATTTAGTAGTGTAGGCGCTGCATGAATCCTCCCACTAATCATTAAGTACACAATAATAGAACATTTTCCGTACACTGCGAGAATCACGCGTTATGTGTGAAATCGAACGTAAAAACAAGACAAACAAAGGTCATAGCGTCGTAGTCGCGTCAAACATCGCGTGGGATTCGACAAACGCGAAAGTATTTCGGGGACATTTCCATGCTTAATAATGTGCTGTCCACATTTGATGATAGGCAATTTCGATTAAGTGGGGGTATTTGGAAGCAATATTCCTCTGTCGAAGATTGGCTGGTCAATGTAAGCTGCGAAATAAAGAAATTCTAGTTCAAAATCAAATCGTTCGATTTTTGTGACAGACGTTCGACGCGCGTCTTTCATGCATCTCGCGAGATCTCGCAATTGTTCGGAAAATCACCTATAGGTAACACACCTTGTAGAATTATTTCTTGTGACAGTCATTGTCACATGGTTTGTTGCTGATGCACTCCGTAATAATGATACAGCTCTGGTGCAGAATTAAAAAAAAAATAAGTTTATATTTTTTAAAACACTACTTTTGTCAGAATTTTAAATACACAATATTAGTTACACAAATAATAATTATGTTGAGCTTTCATTTATTCAAGAAACGGTCATGGCTTCTGTGTTTGATCGCAGATTCATGGTATACATAGACTGTTTGATGATCTACCTAGAACTATGTCATTGGTTTATCTGTGCCACAATTTCAATATGCATATTTATAAGAAGAATGCCATGTATTTTCTGAACATGATTCATGTACAGTGTACAGCATTTACACATGAGGTACTGGTAATCACATTTTGGGGGCTTTAAGAGCATACATGTATTCCATTTTGGAATAGGGGCATGGTATGACATGACTCACTTGATGCGTTCCCAAAAATACACATTTGAGATGATTGGTGGTGGCAGATTTTAAATTGGATAAAACTTGGATAATTATACATGTATATATATGAGATCAGACTTAGTATGCTCGGAGACATGGTTTTGAAGCCAGACTTAGTATGCTAGGAGACATGGTTTTGAAGCCAGACTTAGTATGCAAGGAGACATGGTTTTGAAGCCAGACTTAGTATGCTAGGAGACATGGTTTTGAAGCCAGACTTAGTATGCTAGGAGACATGGTTTTGAAGCCAGACTTAGTATGCTAGGAGACATGGTTTTGAAGCCAGACTTAGTATGCTAGGAGACATGGTTTTGAAGCCAGACTTAGTATGCTAGGAGACATGGTTTTGAAGCCAGACTTAGTATGCTAGGAGACATGGTTTTGAAGCCAGACTTAGTATGCTAGGAGACATGGTTTTGAAGCCAGACGTAGTATGCTAGGAGACATGGTTTTGAAGCCAGACTTAGTATGCTAGGAGACATGGTTTTGAAGCCAGACTTAGTATGCTAGGAGACATGGTTTTGAAGCCAGACTTAGTATGCTAGGAGACATGGTTTTGAAGCCAGACTTAGTATGCTAGGAGACATGGTTTTGAAGCCAGACTTAGTATGCTAGGAGACATGGTTTTGATGCAGGTATCATTATTGACTTATTAGAGCCATACCAGTGAGCACACATCTTATGCTAACCTGTCATTAGTAACGCCAATAAGGTTTTCACCATTCACTGACACAATTTGGTCGCCTTCTTGTAATCGGCCTGCAAAACAACAATAGAGTTTAAACATAACTTAGTTTTCTATATTGCACAGAAGAAAACAACAATGAATGGAAACAGATGCCAACTACAGGCAAACATGGCCCTGAGTATTTAAACTTAACTTCAATCTAAAGCATCTTTTTGACCATTCTGGCTTGGATACATTACACATCTGGTGTAAAAACAGGCCCAGTTGGTTTTGAAACCTAAACTTTTTTTTGTTTATTACCTACAATGCTGCAACTCTCATAAACCACACATACTCATATATATCTATGTACACACAAAAAAAACATTTTTCACTGAAAAACATTCCAAATGTTCACAAGCAAACCAACAAATTATATTTTTTTACTGTACACATAACATAATTATCTCAAAGTAATTCTGCATTTCTAACCTGACTTCTCTGTTTACAACTACAGTTCAGGTTGTTTTCTGGTATCTAAAACAATTGACAGTCAAAATAAAGATTGCAATGTTTTTTTAACACACACCGACCAATGGTTTCGAGAGTGAGCACTTTTGTATACTGTATTGCTCTCCAGAAAATCCATGCAATTTTGCAAACTCAATAAACTGCTTTATAACTCATACCACAAATTACAGGGATGTGTCTTTTTTTGAGCCTACAATAAGATTATTCATAAGAAAAGTTTTGTAATTTTCTCTGGACTTTTAATTTTATTTCTTACCTGACAAACTGATTTTGATTAATAATTTTAAGTTTGGGTTTTAAAAAAAACAAGAAGATTTCAAACTGTATAAATCTAAATACCAGGCAATTAATGACACTTTAATTAAGAAGACAACCTACCATCAGCTGCAGCCAGTCCACCAACAAGAACTCTTCTGACAAAGATACCATAACTTCTACTGTTATCATCACACCGACCACCAACAATTTTTATACCTGTTGTGAGCACAGAATTAACCATCTTATGAAATTTATAGAAAATAATATGGATGACTTTATATATTTCTGTAGAGCGCACCGTTGTGTACTGGTCCAGGAATAAACAAGACTGAACAAGTGATGTGTCATTTCTACAGCCCTGGAGGAAGATGTCTACCCATCCATACCAAGTGATCTGTATTTGTTGACTAACCTCAAATAGAAGTCTGCTCGCTATTGTTATATGCCAACAAAGACAGCAATGTTAATAAAAAATTAAGGTTAGGTTCAGTACATATCCCACTGAAGTACATGCTAAAGTAAAAAATAGTTTTAAAAAGCAGCTTGCATTCTAGCAATGTTTTACCTAATGTCAACACAATAACCGATTTGAAAAATTTATTATCATACAAACCTAATCCACTTTTACAATTGTCAAATACAATAGTTTCAGAGTCTGACGTTTCACTGGTACTGCTTGAGATGTATGGATGATCTGTCAAACTGAAATGAAAACGAAAAGAAGTGTGATGTTATTACACTTACAGCATTTCCTGGGCAGTTATTTGATGCATGTTGGACATGTAGAATGTTTGCTTTGGATAGCATACCAATGACATTATGGCAGTCTACTGTATCTACTATGTACACACTAGATCCTATGAACATGAAATAATGAAGTGCTACAGTTGTTGCACTGAGTCGTGTTTAATATGGGAATCATAGAAATATATACATTACATGCAAAATGCATTGTTTACATGTGATTCAAACATGTGCTGTGCGACGACTGTAACATATCTGCAAATGGTTGAAAGTTCATGGACTATTTTTAACACTCTTTTGAAATCTGTGGCACCAAAACCCAAATAGTATGTCACTTGTTTTTTTGTTATCAATCTCGGCAGAAATTAGAACTCAAAAATCTCAAGAGCAACCACTACTGAATGTGTGCATTAATTGTTGTCTGAATCAGTCATTAGACAATTTTCCCCTTGTTTTGGTTCTGAAATACATGATTCATTATTAAAAAAATTCTTACCTAGACATGGTGTCTGTTAACACTATAGTGGCTGACATGGCAAATTCTAGAGACAAATATATTGGAAGTTAACAACAATAATACCAGCAGTTCATTCTTTTTTACAGGACAAAGTGACAACGATGATGACCATAGAGGGCGTTTATCAGTTCTTGGCAAAATATCAAACTCCTTTTGAAATCTCACGGAGACGTTATTGTTACTTTGTCAAATACAAGTACAGTGATCTTATACGATATCAACAATGCGATGAATGCGATACCACATGAGCCACAATTCGAATAAATGGAATATACGTTTTCTATCATACGGTGAGCCCGCAGTGTACCGGGTTGTAAGTCGTGTGTATATAGTATTATTAGTAAACACATTTTTCAACACAACTCGGCGACAACATTGCGCAGAGGATGACGAACACGTAGATAACTTAAAGTATACAAAATGAAAAAAAATGTTACCTCACTGTACAGGGTCTGTAAACTAGGGACACGTTCTGTGGCAGCAAGCACACCTCAAACATAAATAAAGAACACCGTACGTACACAAACTCGGTCCTGAACGCCACTGGCACTACCAAGGTTAGTCGCGTCAGTGCTACAGATAATGCGGGGTCACACAAAATACAAACAAAGCTGGACTAATTATAACAATCGGCAGGTATTTTACAGTCTGGACATGCAAACAAGGCAATAATATCACATCAAAGACGAGAAGTTTCACCTAGACTAGAAAATAACTCTGCTAACCACTTTCACAGCATCTAAAACGTCCGCCATGTTGAGTTGTCATGAATATTCATGATATGACTCATCACTGATATGGCTCGCCCAAGATCACTACGGTTTAAATAGAAATGTCATGTTATTCTATTATTCCGCCTGTAACTCACCCGAGAACTTTAGTGCATGGTTAAATACTCATGTTTTCCTGTTTGACCATGACCAGGATATATGAGGAAGTTGTTTTTTGGCGCATTCTAGTGGACTATGTTTTTTGTGTAATGCGGATGAATAATTTATTGAAAAATAACCCCCGGTGTTTGTATACATCGACCTCTTATACAACATTACGTTGAAATATGTGAAATTACAAAAAAAAGAATTTAAAAAAGGAAATTGTATTTGTCTTATTTCGTCTACCTTGCCCAACTGTTATGTAAGCCAGACTCCTATCAGCGATCTTTACAAAATTATACATCGTAAGAATCTATGTCACTAGAAACAAAGTGTTTGCATAATTTTAAAGTGAGATAAACTGACTCCAATCAGTGATCTGTACACGTTAATGCACATTTTAGTTCTTGATTACACATCGTAAAAAGTATTTGCATAATTTTTAAGTGGAGTTGGGAACCGATGCTAAACACCAGATAAACTGTGATAAAAGACGAGTTACATAACAGTAAAGGGAAAGAGAATATGACAAATACAATTATTAAACATCCCAGCTCCCTGTGCTTATCATATTGCCCATAGCAAGAATCTATTACATAAGGGTATATAGCTTAGATATCAAAAATACAAAACACACACGTAATAACACCAGAACACCCGCGAAAAAACACCCTGAGACGAAAACTATTCAGTTTTCACACAGAATCACTCATTTGCATTAAAGCGCGGTGGTCGTCGCGCAGCGCGTGTTCGAATTTCATGTAAATAAACAATGCATTTTACACGAGTTGTATACGTCGCTATGAGTCCCATATCGAACAAGACGCGGCGCGACGACTGCCGTCCTTTAATATTTCTAATATTTGCTTTTGTCTCAGTCGGGATTTATGATAACCTCGCATTTTGCCAGTGCGTGACCTCATGTTAAGGTCTGTGTGTTATATATAATGTCTAAACTATATAGTCAGCTAAACACAACCATTTCACGTGTTTTCTAGACAATTTAAATATCGTCTAAAACCTACACTTTTATTTTATTTTGAACCGACACTTTTTTATTAGTGACACACAATTACTGCAATATTGTGTGTTTTCTAAACAATCTAAATATTAGTTATAAGCTAGCTAATGTATTAGCAAGCTATGCTTTCTAAAATTTAGAACTACAGTAGATTTAGATATCTCATACTTAGTGGTCTAAAGTGGCAGTTATGTTTTCTGGATTTTAGGAAACACATTCTCGCACTTAGACTGTTGACAATCCTCCGGGGTCTAATGTAATTGTGCATCCTAAACATTCAATTCGAACGCCGAAGGCGCTTGATATGAAATGCGAAGCATACTTCCTGTCCCGGCGTTGGCAATTTATTCACGCCTAATACGTGTATACATAATATTTATTAATAATAATGTCGACAGTCTACCTCGCACTCCATACACACAATGCGCTGATGTATAATAATTCATTTCACTTCGTGCTGGTATTTGTCAGACACACAGTTGGTGTGGTATAGGACTCTACACAACCATTGTATTAGGTCTAATGTATTCAATAAATTTAAGTAGAACTCAAAATGTCATATACTTTAAAAGGAAACATTATTTACAACCTTTTCTTGCACAAATGACCATTTAAACACTAAAAAACAGTATTTTGCGATCACAAATTACTTTTCATCCTTTTATCAAGCCATCATGTCGTTGTGTGTTATGTAATAGATACGTTTTATAGTTCCATAAATACGAGAAACGCCATTAAATTGACTTTCTATTCTTCGCCTAAGCAATAATGTCAAGCAGTTTTAAAAGTTGTAATCTCATCAAACGTATTTCCCAACACTTCTCGCACCCATGAGCCCCCGCGACGACTCACATCCGGGTATTCAAATTTGTCCCATGCATGCATACGGCGTAGTGACAGATCGTTTTAGAAATACTATTTTGTGAAGACTTCGCATCAGTAGACTTTATAAATCGTCGGTTAAACGTTTTGACCAATGTATTTCAGACGAATGATCACCATGGAAACTGGTGATACAAATTCGTTAGATTCCTTCACTAAATAAATAAATAAACAGATAAACAAATAAATAAAATAAATAAATACATTGTGTGTTATCTCACAATCGGTCGGCGAACACTTTGTAGATAAGAAAGAATGACT